CGTGTATATAGACAAAGTAATGTTTCATATTAAAACATCTAGATTTTGCATTTTACCCATGGTGTAGTCCTGGTAGATTTGACCTCATTGATTCCAGMATCTAAGGAGGACATAAGTGCTTTTGACTTCGACTCTGGAGTCGGAATGTTTGAGTGTCAGTAGTTACCTGTTTAAGTTTTCAGTCTTATTTCTTCTTCCGCGCGTGGGACGTTTGATTTATTTGGGTCAGGAAAACTCTTCCCAATTTAAAGCGCTGTTTCTTGGCAGAGGTCTTAATGCCTCAAAAGGAAAAAACATATACTTCATTTGCTGTTTCTCCAGCAAATAGGAGTTAATTTGCTCAACAGTCCTCAATAAGCACCAATTCTAGTATGCTTTAAACACATAGACACTTGGGTAGTGATTTTTCCTTTAATTCTTGCTGAAATGAAGTCAACCAGATGTTGTTTAGAGCTGTCACAAAATCAATATTGTCATGTAGTTGCTCATCTGRTCTGCTTTGTAAGAACATGTTACCTGTTGTACTTAGGTGGTTAAATATCACCTATGCGCCCCCAAGTGAACTGTAAGTTCTGGTGTCTGATGGGCTGCAGGCTCAGATGCGTTCTAGATGTCTTAGCCACACCACTCGTATTAGGATTGCAGATTTCTCCTCAAATGCTTGGGCTCTGGTTCTCCATATTTGTAATCAGAGAAATTTCTTCTACGAGAAAGTAGTATGCTAAAAGTTCCTCTTTTCTGGGTTTGCCTGTTAACTCTTGAGTTGGATACCCCATGGAAAGGAGTGGTATGCTGATTGGGACACTCTTTTCCTGTTCTGGAGTGACTTCCCTAAGGCATCTTGCAGAAGGCCCAAAAGCTAGGGGACAGAGCACCAGTTTCTGCTTCCAGGAATTGCATCCAACTTGATTTTCCACAAGAAGTGTTATCCCGTACAAATTATGAGTTTGAGGTTTCCCTCTAGTTCATCATGGGTTGAGGCTGTCCCCCTCAATTCCTGTTAGTATGAGCTCAGGAAGTGGGAAATGCCATGGCTAATCCAAGAAAAAAATGTGGTAAAATACTGTGCTCAGTCACAAGCCAAATCCCTTTTGGGTCATTCTGGATGCCATTCAGTCCCCATTAGCAGAAATTATCACCCTTTACTTTACCAATTTTAGGCTTTATTGGGGGAGGGGCATTTTGTTTCCTCTGTTGTAATGAGAACATTGTTTGGAAATGTCATATTCTGTATAATTCTCTGAGAAATGGTTTTGTATGAGTCGGGTTTGACACTGCAGTAGTTGGCACACACAGTACCTTAAGGAGAACCTAGTGACAAATCTCTGAAAATTCTTTATTACCTCAAAAAAAAAAAATCTAGATAAAATAGTACTTATATGGAAAGAAAAAAGAATTGGCCGTTTTCCAAGAAATTGAAGTTAACGATACTTAAGAAAAAGTTCATAACTCTTGAAGACTTATTCCGCATAAAGGAGGCATTCTTTAATAATGGAAGAGGTGGTTTTATTTTTACTACAAGCCTACTCATTACCAAACCTATTACCAATTGCTGATCTGTGTAAAGTGGTTTTTTTTTTCTTTTATCTAAAACAGTGATTTATATGAACTGTTGGAATAATGGAACCTCAAACTACAAATGTGTATGTAAAATTGCATAAATGCACTGACTTCCTTCTCCCTGACTATATTTTTAATAAACAGCATTATCCTACATGGTCAGTTTTATTAAATTATGCACAACTAGAGGGTTCTTTGGAGGAGTGGTGTTTATATGGCTGGTTTGGGGGAAGGTTATTTTGCTAAGTAATGTAGCAATCTTCTCTTTTTTGGAGGCAGAGAGTGGAGAACAGTACAGAAGACATTTAGAGAGATGGCCCTGTTACTTGTGAAGAGACGTTTGAACTTGCAGAAGGTGCTCCTATGAACTGGTGAAATGGTGCCTTTGGGATTGGAAAATATGTGAAAATGTGCAATCAACTCGGTTGGAAAAACATGAAGTCACTGTTCACAACTGGTTCTCTACCCTTGGCAAATGTCTAGATCAGCCTGTTGCTGGAACAGAAAGAATTGATTTAGGAAGTGAAAGAGAGATGGGTTTTTTAAAGAGTAATAACTGATTTTGTTTTTTGGTGTGGAGGGGTTTAGGCTTTTTGCTATCGAGAAATGAAAACAAAAACTGTGTGTACACACATGCACACAAACACACATTGTCTTGATATAACTGCCTAAGGAAAAAACACATTTTTCCTTTGATGAATCTCATGGTTGGTGAAAGGACTTAAGTCACAAGTGAAAGGTGCTGCTAACTCCATGCCTTCCATGAGATRGAAAAAGATGGCAAGTTCATGACCAACTTGCTGTCTGTTACCACTTCTGTAGGGACTGGTTAACTGCACTTGGTTGGTGTAATTGAACTGATGTCGGCATGTTAATGGATTATATGGATGAAGTTTTACATCATGGCAGTTGTTGGGTACACAGCGTCCCTTTTGAGACCAAGGCATTGAAARTCCACCACACATTTGGAGGAGAATGGAATGTGTGGCCACTGCATTACAACTCTCATAACATATGCTTACTGAAGCCACATGTTCCTGGCATTTGTCTCAGCCAGGTGTGAGACCTCAAGTTATTCAGTTTGCCACATCAATTCCCCTCCCATTTGAGATGTGCTGGGGTCACAGCTGATGCTTCATAGGAGTATTGCTGTCCTTATGTAAGAATCTGCAGGGGAACCCCAAAATGCATATTTAGTCCTCAAAAATTTGCTTGAGACTTTGGCACTCGAGTCTCTCAAGTGCCCTCTGTGGCTTTGAGGCAGGCACATGTGTTAGATGAGTGCACTCTCACTGGGAGCTGAGGTTTTAGTAATAGATTTTATCCTCTGAGGCTAAAAAAGATGTCAAAATATTCATTGGAGACATCATGTTTGGAATTTACATTATTAAAATTATACTGAGGAATGTCAGGACAGAAGACTCAAGTCCAGCTTGAAAAAGGACAAGTTACTGTTAATGAGCAGCTGCTACTTCCTGAAATGTTTGTAAAGTTGGTAGTTATACAAGGAAATCCCAATGGGCTCAGTCTGCTATTTCCTTTTTTTCCCCCCTTTGCAGTGCTAGGACTATATGGATGAAGTTTTACATCATGGCAGTTGCTCCAGGGCCTGGAGCATGCTAGGCACTTGCTCTTCTATGCTCTCAGCTCCTGCTATTCCTTTCTTAATAAGGGAATTTGGGCCTTTGTTAAAACTTACTCATCCAGTCAGTCCTCTTCTATTCCCGTTGCCTGGCATGCATGAGCCCCAGGTTGATCCCCAATACCCAAAAGCAAAACAAAGCAAACAGAATCCAGAAAACAGATTATACAACTCTTGGAATCTAGGAGTCCCTGGAGGTGTGATACCTCGCACAGCTGTGTAAAGGGCTTTCTGAAAATACCTTGGTAGAGCCTGGAGGCCTGACAGAGCCCTGGCTCACTTTCCAGCCAGGAATGTGACTCCTAATTTGCTGGGCCTTATTGTCAGCATTTGTCAAACCACTTCAGTGATCAYGGGGGTCATGCTTTAATGTCCTTGGAGTCTCAGATGTTGATGCTTTGAAATGTCTTCCGTATTTCTCAAGGCACAGGCACTTTGGTTGTCACAATTCCAGGTGGAGGGTTGAGCAAAGCATCTGACATCTATGCTTCCAGTCATCATGAAAACCTTAAATGTCCTCTAGTACCTCCAGGTATCCCAGATGGAAGCGCTATATTCCCCTGGTTGAGAAAGAGTGATCACATGTGGCAGCTTTGGGAGCTTTCTACTGTCACATGCAGCCAATTATTGTAGTTAGTAACTGATAAGCAGGTGCAAGAGGAATGCAAAAGTTACCTTTAGTCAGAGAAAGCCACAGTTCTTCCCTACCACTTCCTTCTATAGGAAGGTGTCCTCTGACCTCTGACCTCCAGCTTAAGGGAGAGCTTCCACAGCTGTCCCATTTTTCTTWACTAAATCCACTAAGAAGAAAAGTTCAGTGGTTCTGATGATGTTAAATATTCAAGTCAGAGCTTTCGACTTTCTTTTCTCTTTACATACCGTTTAAAATTACRGTTATTATAATTATTCATAATAGGGGGAGTTATTATGACATTCATACATGCTTATAGCATAATTTACTCAATTGCATTTCCCACTATCTCCCCTTGTTGTCCTCTCCACTTTCCTCTTTGGTCTCTTTCCTCCTCTCTACCTGTTCTCCCTTCTGTTTTCTTAAGATCCCCCCTCCCTTTTTTAAAATCTTTTCTTCTCTCTAGCTTGGAATCTGGCTTATTTCACTTAGCACGATTCCATCCATTTACCAACAAATGCCATAATTTCATTCTCCTTTATGGCTGAGTAGAACTCCATTGTGTATATAGCTTACACTGTATGTGTGTACCACATTTTCTTTATCCATTCATCTATTGACAGGCATGGGGGATGTTTCCCTCCCTAATTTGGCTATTGTGAATTGCACTGCTATAAATGTCGATGTAACTGTATCCCTATAGTATGCTGATTTTAGTCTTTGGGATAAATACCAAGGAGTGGGACAGCTGGGTTATATGGTGGTTCCATTCCTAGCCCTTTGAGGAATCTTCATACTGCTTTCCAGAGTTGTCGTACTAATTTGCAGTCCCATTAGCAATATAAAGTGTACCTTTTCCCTGCATCCTTGCCACCTTTTATTGTTATTTGTATTTTTGATGATTGCCATTTTAACAGGAATGAGATGAAAYCACAGTGTAGTTTCGATTTGCATTTCCCTTACAGTTAAAGATGTTGAACWTTTTTTTTGTATATTTGTTGGCCACTTGTATTTCTTCTTTTGAGAAATGACTGTTTAGGTCATTTACTCACTTATTGACTGGGTTATTTGGGGGTTTGGAGGTTTTTCTGAGTTCTTTATACATTCTGGGTATGAATCCCTTTTTTCTTTTCTGTTGACTTTCATGTCTTTTTTTCTTTCTTTTTTCCATGTTTCCCCATTCCCAATGCAGACCAGGCACAGGGCCTGGGCTGAGGAATGCATGGGGTCGGCTTCCTCTGCCTCTTCTTTCTATTTAGTCAGTGAAGAACAGAGCCTATGGTAAGCATCAGGAGGCCTGTTTTTAAGCCAATCCCCTGCCGTTTTTGTTACCATAGCTCTGCAGATAGTTTGAGATCAGGTATTGCAATGCCTCCAGCCTCATCTTCTTGCTCTGGGTTGCTTTGGGTATTCTGGGGTCTCATTCTTACATATGAGTTTTAGGACTGTTTTTCCTAGGTCTGTGAAGAGTGTCATTGGCATGTTGATGAAGGTTGCATTAAATCTGTAGATTATATACACAAAAAGTTTGAAGAGATGGGTCAAGAGAATTGCTTCTGTCCATACCTCCCCACAGCAGTCAAGTGGAGAGAGACCCACCAACCACATTTCTTCAGGAAATGAGAACAGGGGAGCATTTCAAAGACTAATACGATTTTTAACTTAATTTATGTATTAGCTTCTGGGGCTGCTCATTGATTATGAGTAGAGAACAGTATGATGCACTGAATGCAAATTACTACAAATCAGTATCGTGGGCCAAAATCCAGGCCTTAGCCAGGTCACACTCCCTCTGAAGTCTCTAAGAGAATCCATGTCTTGCTTTTCCCCTCTGTGGTGGCTTCCGCAGTTGTCTGCTAGAGACCTCATCCTTGCAGGGTCTGCTTCCTGGTCACCCTTCCCTTCTGCGAGTCTCTTTCAGGGACAGGTATGATTGGACTTAAGGTCCACCCAGATAATCAGGATAAGCTTCTCTTCCTAAGTTCCTTAGCTCTCACCTAAAGGTAAAGCCTGCTCCATTGCCATATAAATATTCTGAGGTTCTTGACATGTCCTTAGGGAGCCACTATGGAACTTGAAAAAGCATAGTAAAGTTTTAGAGATGAGAAGCAGAAGCTGCTGATGCTATTTGCCAATGGTTCCTTGTTTCTCTTCCAAGAAGGTTTTCTTCCAAGAAAGTCTACCGTTTATAGGCTCCCATGTCTGCCAGCGGGTCTGTGTGGGCCTGAAGGTTAAATGACAAAAAGAAATGAGAGCAACATTTGAGTTTAAGCAACATGGCAACACTAAACAAGCAAAAGTTTGAGTAACTTTCAAATTGGGGCTGAGGGAGTCAAGCGTTCTAAGTCCCTCTTCTGTCCGCTATGAAGAGGTTCTCACCCCCCTCGCCCAGGGTTGTTGAAGATTAAGTGTTGAATGACATACCAGCTGAACTCTCTACCCATGTACCCTCACCTTTCTCCTCAAAGATAATTGCAGAATTCACTGGAATTCTTAATGGAAAAAGAAACCACCTGCATAGCAGATGAACAGGAGGGTCCCTCCTCCCAAAGGCCGCCCCTGTGTGACTCTCCGGATTCCCTTTTATGCAAAAATCTCTGGGTGKTGTTCACACATATTTTCAGCAAGTGACAAGCAGTGACAAGAGGTAGCTGAAGGCAGAAGCAGGCAGAAGTTTCAGCAGAGGGCATTGGGACCCCAGCAGTGATGGGAGCCTCCTCAGTCTGTGACCTTGAGCAGATTGCCTGGTCTCTCTGAACCTCTGTGTCAGAGGGTGAGGTGAGTGTAGGCATCACCTCAAAGGCCCCKTTGAGCCCAGCAATGCCCAGCAGGCATGTCAACTCCCTCACGAGCAAACATGCTGGCACCCCTGGTGCAGCCCGAGAGGTGGCCAGGATTCCCCTGACCTTCACTGTGTCACTGCCATGTGCAGTCCTCAGGGAGGCGTGAGGCCAGGAGTGGACTTCCTTGCCTGTCTTTGGTTCTCGGGAGTGTCCTCAGTCATGGAGGGTCCAGGGTCATATGGGGAAAGGGAGAGGGATGACACTGATTCAGACTCATCCCACAAAGAGGCCATCAGAGCTCCCCCAATACTCAAAGGGATAGGACCTAATGAGGCTTAATATCTCCATCCTGCTGCCTGGTCTCCACTCTTCCCAGCCCCTCAGCACTATCAAAAGTTCTTTGTCTCCATGGACACTTGGTATCCAGGTTGGGGAGAAAACAGAATTCCTGACTTCTAGATTCCTGAGTCCAATACTCATCATGGATATTAGTGTTATGATTTCGATTTGCAGTGCAAAACAAAGCAGAACAAACAGCATCTTTGTAGAGAGAAGGAGGTGCTGCTTTTATCTTGTTTTTTGAATCTCGAATCTTGTACTCCGGCAGCCAAGGCCTCGCTAGTTCAGAGCACAATATATATGATTGGCATAGGCARCAAAGAAGGAGAAAATGTAAGAATTATTTTACTCTCATAGCAAAAGGAGACAACAATTTGACCACTGCTGACAAGGGAGGATAAACAAGAAATAATAAAGATGAAATTGTGAGGGGGCCCCCCAGAAGCCACCTGGCACCGACAGGCCAGACTGCCTCCCTGGCAGGACAGGAGGCAATGTCTTGTTGGTGCTGTAGGATTTGCTGGCAGCGTCAGCTTCCTCCACTGCCCAGTTCTTGGCTTCCCTTCGAAGCCACAGAGAAGCCTCCAGATATGTACGTCTTCACTGTGCCAGAGCAGAGAACAGGGGCTAAGCGTGGCCTTCACTCCAGGTTCCCCTGGGTGGATGAGCCTGAGTTTCTTGCTTCACTCACTTACTGGTGGCAGGTGAAAAGGACGGGGTCAGTGAAGACTGGCCTTTGACTCAGCCATCACACAGCGAACTGAACAYAGCAGTGTTTTGTGGACTATCTGCTCTAAAACTTTCATTCTGTAATTTCTTACCTTGTTTCACAGGCTTCCAATCAATCTTCTCCCTACTTATAAAAGAAAAAAATAAAATGGAATAATTCTTTTTCTCTCTCCTGGGCGGGTGTTACAGCCCAGCACCATGATCTGCAAGGTCCACTCACTAGGAAGTTGTCATAGATATTACTGTGTAATGCTTAGCAGCCCAAAGTGACAACGTGTCTTACAGTTACTGGTGTCCTAGGCTAGAGGCCTGACTCTGGAGGCCCCAACAAACTAGGGCCACTCACAGCCCCCCCAAATAGCAAAGAAGGTGCTGGTGAAAAGCAGGAGAGGAAACTTGAATTGCTGGCCATACTGGAAAGGYAAAGTGAGATCCAGCACCCCAACCCTGTCTTCGGGGTACTGAGGGGAGCTGTGGGTTTGAACATAGAAGGAGCTGGGCAGGGGTGCGAGGAACACACAGTCACGCAGCTTGGTCACACTGGGGTCTGGCTGATAGTTCTCTCAGTTCTGGCTCAGCCAGGTGATTCTGACCTTATCACATAAGGGAGCAATTGTCACCTGCTACTGAGGATATTTGTCTTTCAGACTGTGATTCTGGAAAGGGACAATGACAGGAGACTTCTAGGCACCACTCGAGGGGACCAAATAGTCAGATGCTGCATATCTCGCCTGTCATGATGCTCTTTAAACGACTAACACGCGCAGGTACAGAGCTGGTCAGGGACCTGAAGACAAATGCAGATGTGCCACAGGAGGACCCACTTTCAAGCCCCCCACCACCACTGCTATCAGCAGGAGGCCTCAACTCCTGGTGGACTCCAGGCTGGGAACCTCAGTTCCTTGTGACCGGTGCCTTTTCTTTTTATTTGAGTCTCAACCTAAGAGCTATCTTCCCAAAGAATAAGCAAGGAGAGAGGCTGAGAGAGAGTGCCTCCCCAGGACAGAGGTCACAGTCCCCTTGTCTCTGAGGTGGCTATTCCCTCACTTCTGGTATATTCTGTTGGTCCCAGAGACCCATGCCCGTAGGTCACAGGAAGTGCCTACACAAGGATGACTCGGGTTCCAGAAGTGGGGACCTGAGGCATTCCTGGAGCCTGGCTACCACAAAAATACCAGCAGGAGCTGAAGGTCTTTGAAACTTGAACCCTGGAGTGGGAAGTTAGAAAAGCAATAGAGGGTTCTGCCTGTTTTCTTCCCCTTGGCCAACAGTCTTTGAGCCCTAGTTCTACTTGAAAGGGAAAAAAAAAAAACTTTAAATAACTCGTGTCACTTGCTCTGTCTTATCCCAAGAAGGGTATGCTGTGGTTTGACTAGGGCTGGCCCCTCAAGCTGATGCTGAAACCCAACTCCATGGAGGTGGTTTTGGGGTGGGGCCTTCAGAGGTGATGAGGTCACCAAGGATCAAAGCCTCTCACTTCCAAGGGCCTGCCTAGTTAGTGCCACAGCGGGTTGTTAGAAAGCAAGGCGCCTCTTGTGCCTKTCTCTGGGTCTCTCTTGCCCTTCTGCTCTCCATCATAAGCTGGAGAATCAACCGGCCCTGCCAGAAGCCATGCTGATGCCACTGCATCTTGGACTTCCCAGCCTCCAGAAACATGAGCCCAAATGAACTCTGTCCTATAAAAATCACCTAGACTCAGGCAGACAAAGATTATTGATGTGGTGGTGGTGGTGGGGATGCCATGAATGTATCACTAGAGATAGCTTCAGTTGAAAAAAACAAATAGACTAGAAAAGAGCAGAGTATATTGTCTGTAGTATGGATAGGTATTATTTTGTGGAACTTTTATTCTGGTTACTAATCTGTGTGCACACACAGTCAGTCAGGGTATTCACTGTGATCTTAATTTTGGGTTGTGACAAAAGCTGCCTTTTGATCACACCTGAGTTTGTGCTAATTTTGTGACTTAGGGTGGGGCCCTAGATGGCTTCAGAAGGACGCAGGTCACTAGAAAGACCAAGTGATTAGAGGTGGGAACGCCCAGCCCACCTCCAGGAGGGAGGCATACCGGGGTGAAGCTCTGGGTGTCTTTAGCAGGCCGATTGGGGAGCTCCAAGGTGCCAGCCCCTCTAGCGCAGGAGCCCCCGGGAGGTCCCTCTGCATCCTCCCTCTGGCTGTTCCTGAGCTGCACCGTGTGAGTCCAGTGTTTCCCTCTGTTCTGTGAGGTGTTTTAGAAAATTACTGAGCCCAAGAAGGGGGTCATGGGAACCCCTGTGATTGACCACAGAGTGTGGGGAGGCCGTATCTGCAAGTGACATCTGAAGTAGGGGCCGTCTCGTGGGACTGGTGGATCCTGCWGCCACCTCCAGGTAGAGAGTGTGAGAAGGAAAGTGCTGGCTATGCAGCTGGAGTGTGCACGTGACCTAAGACGGACCAATCAGAGCTGA